AATATTAGATGCCAATGTTAATCTGAAACAAGTTTTTCAGTAGGCAGCACTGATGCCAGCCTGTCCAGAACAAGATCACTGATACAATTGCAATATATACACCCTATTGAAAAAGCAATATATTTAAAATCTATTAACATATTTACTGACAGATAACTCACTTACTGACTTACTGAAATAAAAATTAGAATTAAACTTGGCATACTACTTGTGCACAATGCACTTTTCTTAATATGATGTCTAAAATGTGTTTTAATGTCACTTTTGATGAGGATTGAATGATCTTAGTATAATATCGGACTTGAAGTATACTTGCAATAGTTCCACTTTAGCACAATAAAATATCCTAAGTATATCTTTAATTGTACTTCAGCACTACTTCCACACAATTAAAGTGCATTAAGTACAAAATGAGTTGTTCCAATTCATCAGTCTCTAAGTATACCAGTTTAGTATACGAAAAGTACAATTGCAGGACATTTTATTAAGTACATAAATATGAAAATGTATTTGTAGCATACTTAGCATGAAATAAATGTATTTCAAATACAGTATATTTATTTTTCAGTAGGGCACATACACAATATAAAACAATCAATTTAATGCTTGCATGAATGAAATTGCAAAAAATGTCATCTTTTTTACAGAAAGCGTTAATTTGCATTAGAATTAAGCGAAAAAAACATAAGAAGAAGAAGAAGAAGAAGAAAACTTGTAGCAATAAAGTCTAAATAAATTAATCTTTATTAACATTACATAATGCAAATACAACTGCTCACTGTTAGTCCATGTTAGCGCAGGTCCATTAAATAATATTAACAGATACAACTTTTGATTTTAATAATGCATTGATACATGGTAAAATTAAGATTAACTAAGACTGCATTTTTTAAAATGTGTTTATATATTTGTTTGCTTTTAGTTCACTATTGTAGTTTATTTATTTATTTATTTTATTTAGTAATTTATTAGACGCTTTTATCCAAAGCGACTTACAAGCGAGGACAACAGAAGCAATCAATTGTAGTATTAAAACAACTAAAAACAGATCCAAATCTAAAAGCTAAAACTTTATAAATACTACCTATACACATTTTAAAAATAAAGAGATTAAATAAATAGTAAAGAACAAAAGGTATAAGAGTATAATAATGATTCTAACATAACACTAAGCCAAACACCAAAAAAAAAACTACATTATATGTGTATGTACAACCACACACACATACTTATGTACTGTATATGTACATACACATTTATAAATTCAATATATATATTATTTCATTTCCATTTAGTTTGTTGAAGTATTCAAATAACTCAAATAACTTTAAATAAAACTAAAAACTTAATAAAAGACCTATACAGACATAATAAATTCAGACATAATGTAACTAAAATTTAAATAAATAACAAATACAAATAATACAAATCAAATGACTGTAGTTTATCAGTGATCCTAAAAAATAACACTGCCAAACACACACGCTAAAAAACAACAACGTACTTATAAAAACTGAAACAGAAGCGAAACAAGTAATAGGAAAGAGGAGAAATAAAAAGCAATACTTATGTATTATACATATATTTAATGTAGTTAACTCTTAACAAAATACAAATCAAATGACAGTAGTTTATCAGTAATCCTAAAAAATAACACTGCCAAACTTACATGCTAAAAAACAACAACTTAATTACACATAGTAAGAAATGGTTATAAAAACTGAAACAGAAGCGAAACAAGTAACAGGAAAGAGGAGAAATAAAAAGCAATACTTATGTATTATATATATATTTAATGTAGTTAACTCTTAACAAATGGAACCTTATTGTAAAGTCTTACTAGAAAAGTCTCAATGTTTTCTACATCTATATTTAATAAATTATAAATGATTATATATAATTATAAAAGACAATTCCAAAAAAAAAAAACAATTTTTCAAGAGATAAGTTGGCTAGTTTGTCTCAGAACATCTGGATTTTTGGAGACTCTTTTAATCCTTTTCTTGAGGATTTTCTGCCTTGGCTCCACGCAGCGGTTTGAATAATGCTGAATAAAGCCTGACTTATGTGGAATTTCTTTATTAAACTCTCCATCGGTTTGTGTATGAAGCGCTGGCTCTCGGTCGAACCCTGTCCGCTGGGAAACACATCCTGCAATTGAAAGCAGCTGAGAGAAGTGGGACGCTTTGAGAAGCTAAAACAAACAAATTGCTCTGGTTCTTTACAATTATGTAACCGTTTCTGTGGCAGCAGAAAGGCAATGAGGGCTTTAAAGACAGGGAGGCTGTGGAGGTCGAGTTCTGGCAGATCTGCTCCCCTCGCTTGCCTTCTCCGGGAAGGAGGCCAAACCCTGTCAGAAGCCAAGACGACACGGCGAGAAGACAAATGTGAAATGTTGGAGTACATTTCTCCTTACAGGAGACCTTCTCATATCAGCGTTTTAGTGAAAGCATTTTTGTTTCTGACAAGACTCTTTCTGTCGGTTCCTCATTCCTCACGTCTGTATCGCCTCCATGTTTTCTGCCATAAATGTATTTTCTTTTCTTCTGTCTTTTAGTCGTTTGCTTACTAGAACTTGGTCAGACTTGTGGTTTGTGTTTCTAGGCCTCAACGAGGACAGTGAACATATGTATTCAAATAAAAAAAAAAAAAGTTTTTGAAATTCCTAATACTTTTATGACAGCATTTGAGCACTCTCTGAAACAAGACCACAACTCTTTTGGGAAGTTGTCATTATGCCAGTTATGTTATGAGTATTATACATCTTGCTTATGTAACTTTATTAAAGCAACATAAATACAAATACATCTGAATGTTTCCACATACATAAACAAATGTTCCAGTTTCTAATAGGTTTCATATATGTTTTTACTTTACATGACAATATATGACATGTATTACATATATTTCCTATATTAAATGCATGTCAATTTAATATATGTACTGTACGCTAATTACATTTACACGTGCAAAAATGCAGTAAAAACAGTAATATTGTGACATATTATTACAATTTAAAATAGCTGTTTTCTATGTGACTATATATGTTAAAAGCTGTATTTTCAGCATCATTACTGTAGTCTTCAGTGTCACATGATCCTTCAGAAATCATTCTAACCTCAATAAACATTTCTGATTATTATCAATGTCATGCATTATTATTATAAAAAAAATGCATTCAGAAGTATTTGAACACAAATATAATTAAATTATTGTTTATTTTGTATAAGTTTATACCTCTATAATTTATAACAAAGAGAAAGGTGTTTAATGTTTTGTATTACAACATCATTTGTCAGTCTCTCCCCAAGATATTCTCCTGTAAATACTGTTTAACAACCTCTTATAAATGCTAAAGCAAATTAGTATAGTATTTCAAGTGCACTATACAATATCAACATATTGACAGTTAAAACCCTTACCCTTGTACATTTCACAACTTTATTGGTTCAACTAGTGTATAAATGGATATGCTGTGCACAATTTCTAATACCCAAGAATACCTACTAATGAGATCATGTTTTCTAAATTCAGTTTTTCAGTATTAATGCATTGATTAGCACTGATTCCATGCCCTGATTTACTGCCCTGATTTACCGTGTGTTCATGTCTGTCACCTGTAATACGCTGTCCTGTTTGCAGAGATGAAAGTGTCGGATGTGCCGAGCGTGTAATCGGAGGAAGCTCTGTTTCTTCCCCGGGGTCTTTCTGCCCATAACACATGACTATAACGGGACAGCTATTGTGCGCGGGTTTATACACACAGACACACGTACAAGCGCTCGCTGATGGCAGCTGTCTAACAAACCCAGCCCGCTCTCTGTGTGAATTCACGGACCAAACCAGCATCATCTTGAAAACCTTTCATGGACTCCAAAAATACTCCAAATGCTCTTTTCATAAATAAACATTCCTTAAAATAAAGAAAGCAATGGGGCTTTTAAGGCTCAGAATAGCTGTGGCTCTTGCCCCGTCCTTTCATGTCTGAGGAAGCCAGGAACAATCTCATTGTTACATTGTTACATTTCCTTTTGCAGTGAAACCTCTGTAGTTTTCAATATAAGGTCACGAGCATCTCCATTCAGCATCATCTGAGCGCTTTGTAGCACACAGTCCAACATAAACTGAGTCGACCACACCTCAATAACACTTCCATTCTCACACATCTACAGACAAGCGTTCAGTCCATCATCTCTACATACATGTATGTAACTAATATTAGGTGAAAGTAGGAGATGATCTGTAAAGGCAATAAGTTCAACACTGAAAAAAAAGGTCACCTAAAAGTGGTAACATCTAATTTAACTGATTTTATGCAAGCCAAAAATAGTATTTAATATTGTTAAATCTGCCGAATTGCATTCATTTTTACCAGTTTAATCAGGTAGAAATCACTTCTTAAAGTGAAATGGAGTGAAGGTACATTCTATATCTTAGGTCCTGTAACTGATTAAAAAAAAAGTTAAAATGATAAAATATCAACCTATCAGAACTACTAAAATTAGTTACACTTTATTTGAATGTGTCCTTGTTAAAGAGTAATTATACAAATAAATAGTGAGTACTATTAATTAACATATTATAATATTCATAATTTATTAATGGTTTGGTTTAGGGTTTGTTGCATGACATTATGCATAATTTACTGCTATTACTAAAGTATTATTAATAATATCATTACTATATTGTTATCACCATATCATTATACACATGCAACATACAGTATGCTGCAAAATAAAACCATACCCTAAATCTGCTTTGCACCATAAAATATACTGATAACCATCGTAGTATAATACAGGTTATAGAATAGAAGGTCCATGATGGATTAAATGTAATCAAAACTGGCCTTAGACAGTGTACAGTGTTATATAATCGAAGATAGAACATAGAGGTTGACACTTACAAAATGCAATGCACATGAACTAATTAACCTGACATATAAAACAAAACTGATACAAAATAGAACAAGCATATAAATCATTTTGTATGAAACAATAATGAGGGACATGTGGGTACAACTCTTTAGAGGTTTTTAGTCTCTCAGTTAATATGAGCTCATAAAATATGCATGCACAATAATTGTAAATGTTCTAAAAAAATATATATAAAATGTTTCAGTTTTAGATGGAACATTTCAAACAGCAGGACATCATGACAAAACAACTGAGGTAGTTATGTTTTATTTACTTTTTCTTCATAACTAATAAATGTCACAAGGATAAAGTGTAAAACACCTCCTCATCTCAGTCCATAAGAGGTTTGGGTGTTATTAAAGAAGAACTGCACTTTAACCTGAAAAACAGAGATCAGCCACGATCTCCCGATGAGAGAAAGACGAGGAGAGAAAGTGTCAACTATGCAAGTAAACACAGAACAACAGGGAATAAACGATGAGTTTTCTGGAGAAGGGAGTCTAAGACAGAGAATGGAAAGAAAGAGAATGTTAGATGAAGAAGAGCCAAAGAAAGAGCCATATGGACAGAGTGGATGTGAAGTTATGTCCCAGCATGCTCAGCGGTCACACTGAGAACTGACCCAACACACCCAGATCACAAAGAGACACAACCCCACCTAACACACAGAAAAACACACACGAGTGTAGTTTTTAGCATGCACCAGCTGTTAAATGATGTGCGATACAGTCCCATGTGAAAAAGAAGTACACAGACTTTTTTTTTAAAGGGAACTTATTATGAAAATAATAGATTTTAAAAGAAAACTCTTTAGTGTGAACTGATTGCATGTACCTTACAACTTAATGAAAATGTAATATGGTTAAATATATATGAAATGCACGAATCTGAACATTAGAGTGCTTTTTGACCCACTTAAGTACATCTTTTAATCTAATTTAATGATTATTTCTACTGTCTTTGAAATATGGTGAAAGTGCACTGCTTAATACTGACAAGCATTTATGATAGGCTAAAGCATACATTAAAGTTATTTCGATTGAAACTTGTATGTCATGTATTTAAATGTATGTATAATTACATGTGAAGTTGCAGTTGTAGTACATATAAAACATATTAACTTTAAATGTAACATTACAAATAACACACCACAGTTAAAATTATTATCAAGTACTTTACATGTGTTTTAGTATGTTAGACAACACATTAAAAAAGTGTCTTTAAAACAATGAGTACTTAAGTGAGTTAAGAAGAGTGTATTCTCTTTAAATGCACTTAAGTGGCCTTTTATGTTATTAATATTATTACCTGCAAGTACAAT